TTTCTGAGATTGGTCTCAGTGTTTTGTGAGAGAGGCGATTCTTTCTCCAGTCACCATTTATTAAACTTGCCTGAGCCCCTGTGTCCCATAAAGCTCTCCTACATTATCAAGATGGCACTGGACAGCACATCTTCCTCCAAAGAGACTGATGAGCTTGTTTTAGTGCAGTGAGGGAATATAACTCTCAGACTGAAGGAATTCATTGTTTTGGGATTACCTGGTGGCTCACATGAGCATTAAGTGTTGGTCTACATAAATAAAATGTCACAGGGACCTGGGGTAAACGGGTTACTGCTGGTCCCTCCTCATAAGCGCCTTCCTGTTTCCCTGTAAATTTCTCTGCTTGCAGCCATGAGAAATATGGCTTCTTGTCCAGAGGTGAAGCAGTGCAGATAGATACCAGCCATCCCAGCTTCTCTGCCTTCTTGGCGTCCTTTCGTTCTGACAGGTGTGAGCTTTGATGTTGCTGTTCCATGTAATTTCTTTATCTCCATCAGATCTGCTTTAAGGCCTTCAATCAACTTCAGTCTCTGAATCTGGCCATTGACTTTGCACTTGTTTCCTCTTGATACATTTTCACCTCTTTTAATCTGTCTCCCCTCTCATTGTCTCTGTGTTGTGAGTGAAAGTGAATATTCTGAACTTCTGCTTGTTTTCCATTTAATCTCAATGGTTTGATTGAGCACTATGTTTTGTTGCTAAATTTCAAGACTTGTAGCGTAATGTATCTTTTCAGTTAAAACCTCATCTATGATATTTTGGCGGCTCAATTTTGGGTTTAACTGGAACATCAGGGCTTCACTCAACAAACTTGTTTCCAGTGACTGCAGGAACTTAAGTTGGATCAGATTTGGCCTGAACTGCTCTGCCTCATGTTTTTCCCCAGACATGCAGAGCAGTGTTTCTCTCAACTCTAGTTCTCTCAACAGGAAGGCTTGAGCAGACTCTCTTGGGTCTTGGGAGATGTTCATCTGACCTCCTGTTCATGCAGTAGGTCAGATGATGAGTCAATTTTATAGTTGAATATAACTGTAAGAGTGCGGAGTGTGAGGTCCAACTTCACTTCCAGCAGATCTCTGAGATGAAGGTCAGGGCTGACGGCGTTAATGATGGCTTCAGTCATTTCTTCCTCAGAATATCTGTTCTTTCTGCCTGACTCCATCTGGTTACTGAGAGTGGTGACAGAAAGCTTGTCTGTCTGTCCTGTTTCTCCCGTCTGGTTCAATATTTTAAAGTCTTTCTTAATGTGACTTAAGGTATTCTGAGGGTTCCAGGTGGATTTGCTTTCCTATCAATATGACTATCATTCTGTTCACCTTTACACCCAAAGCACCAATTTTCTCTTCAAGGAGACATTGTTTTTCTGCTTGCATCCGGTGAAGTTGCTTCTTTCTTGCTTGAGTTTTTCTAAGGCAGGAATTTCTGTCTTTGAGACCCAAATTCCACAATTTCATGACTTTTCATTTACTGGACAACAGTCTAGTGTTATTGTTAGATTTCTAAATATATTTTATTTCATATACTCATTATCCTTATAGACTGTTTGACTGTTTGCTTCTAGAATGTGTGGCTTTTAGTGATGTCTACAGGAGGAGATAAGCATGCCAAAGTGGACGGAGAGGCCATCCATTCTGGAGGGCTGTGGCTGGCCTCACTCAAAGATTAAATGGTCGAAGTTTGTGACCCAGATATATGGAACTGCACTTAAGACCTCGCATGCAGAAAGATAGGAAACTACATTGTATAGAAAAGATATATAAATATGTTAGCAGCAGGGTTTGTTGTTTGCTCCTCCCTTAATCAGTAGCTGCTAAACTATGTAACCAGGGCTCTTGAATTTCAATAAAAGGAAAAGAAAGAGGGGAAACTCAGAGCAAGTTTGGAGTGTGAACCAATCGCTCCCTGTTCTTTCTCTCCTTGAGTAACAAATTTTAATTCATTTTCCTCTTTTTTCCTTTGTCTATGTCTGTGTGAAGGTGTTTAGGGTATTTTAACCTGACAAGTTATTTAAAAACTGCTGGAAAACTTGGGGCTTTTCACCATCCCAGAGTTAACCAGTTGTGGTTCCCACCATCCTTATTATCCTTCATCTGCCAGCCTCACTGCACTTTAGATTTTGACACATTTTGATTAGCTCTGGCTTCCCCAATGATCTTATCCAGTATCCATGTTGACTTTCTTCTAACATCTAGGTTCAGTTTTCTGGTAGGTTCTCTCAGAAGGCTTATTTTATCTCTTATTTCTTATTTTAATCTGGCTCACCAAGATTATGTCACACACATGGCAACACCCATTTTGTAATTTTATTTTATATATTTTTTAGTGTGGCCCTAATACTTTGTCACAGCAAATAAAACTGAACATAAATATATCACTTTCTACATATCTAAAAATTATGATCATTACATATGGGGAATACAAGATGCTAATTTCATTAGCTGATCTGGCTATGGTTATAACTATGATATGAATGGTGATTAGTCATATCTTGACTGAGGTACATTTATTCCTCCATACACCAGATTTCCCCTTTATCTGAAGGGTTCTTAGATCAGTTTGCCAATAATATAAAGTTATAAATAAAACAGAAGGATTGTGCTTCAAAAAAGATGTTTTACCAGTTTGATTTGTGATAAAGAGCAACATTTCTTTAAATTATGTTTGTCAGATGAACAAATCATAGGAGCCTGAAGCTTCTTTATACACATGGTAAGGTAAGATAAATTTAATGATATAGCACATTTTCAGCAACAGTAATTTAAAGTGCTTTCCATGAATTAGATGGAAATGCAAACAAAATAAACCAAAGAAAAGACATACGAAAACAAGAGTATTATTATATTAGTTCCCCATGTTTAAGAATGAGCTGTCTGTAATTTATAAACTAGTTTTTCTGGGATGCTAGATAAGTATGTATCCTCTGGAGTTTATAATTTTATTTTGAATTTGTAAAAGTAATGATTACTCCACAGTTTCTAAACATAATAATAAAAACTAAAAGTTCCTGTTGTGGAAGTAGTTTTTTTCTGGATGTTAAGTTTGTTCTAATTCCTTTTCTGGTTTAATAGTGAGTACTTAACACATTTTAAAAAAGTAATAAGGTAAAAAGAGGAATATACATATTAGGGAAGTATGCACATAGTAAAATTCAGACAATTCAGATATGAGCGAAAGGTGGTGGCATGATGGAGTCTATCTGTTTGCTGTGTCTGTGTATTGCATTTTATGGCCATGAACCATGTAGCTCAGTCTCCCGTCAATAGTCTGATATTAGATTAGGATAACCTTATCTAAGAGCATGTCCTTGGGTGCGTTCTGCTCCATTAATTTATTATTTCTTCCAGAAGCCCCCGTTCCCCATATCTGCATGTGGGTCAGAAGCTTAACCAGAGACATGACAGGATTCCATGCTTTGGAAAACTTCGATGATGACTGTAGCTCTGCCACTAAATAAAAACACTCATGTTTTGTTCCTCATGCAACAGGAACAAAACAAAGCTGCAATGAAACGTTCAAGCTTGCACAATAATGAATCAACAAAACTGGTGGAACTAATTTGGTTAGACAAACCTTTAAACAGGACTCTATTAAAAATGTTCATTTCCAGGATTCCAACCACAGATAGATATTGGAGGAATTTGGTATGGTCTGTCATCACACATGTCTTCTGGGATTGACCACAAATAAAGACCTGGGAGAAAATTGAATTTGATTAAACCATCTTCACAAACTGTTACTGAATGGAGGGAAAAATTAAAACATGTTAACATAATAAAGTCTCTCACTGAACAACTAGAAATTAAAATACACAAATTTAGCTTTGAAAATATTTAATTTTAAAATCATATGTTATTTTGGAGAATAACATTGTAGTTTGCCAAATAAATATTTACTTTGAAATTAGATATTTGTTTCAAAAGTTATGCAAATATCCAGTTTATATCCATTTTAAAAGATTTTCTGACATGCTAAATAACCTGAAATATTGCAAAAAATGTTTTTACAATCATCACTAGTTATGATCAAAAGTAAGTACATCCTCATTTTTATCAGAACGTCTCTCTTTCATGAATAATTTATAAACCTGCCTCTGATTTTACTGTAGACCTTCCACTTCCTGGTTCTCCTGCTGCAAAAGAAGAAACTACAAACCAGAAGAGTTTTGACACAATCAGTTAAGCGACCTCTATCACATTTGCTTTCAGTTTTAATTACACTGTTAAGGTGTGGCTCCGATCATGTTGTTGGATCTTTATTTGTTTTTCAAATGTTCTTCAACTTTTTGGATCGTTTGAATAAACTGTAAGTTTGCTTTGTTTCCTACTTGAACTTTGTCTTCAGGAATTTTCCTGTATGTTTCTGCTCTCTAATATTTGGAGACCAGGTTCACTGCTTATTTCTGCTCAATGTTTCATCTTTCTGCTGTTTGAAGATCAGTATTATATTACTGATGAACTGGAATCAAACAGGACTGAAAGGATGATGTTTCATCGATTTCCTCTCTTTACAAAGTGCTTCATGTTTTTCTTGCCTATAACCAAACTATTCTCCACCATCAAGGTCAGACAAAGTAAAATATCTATCTATATAATCTTTGATGTAGCATATAATCAAATCACTATAAATGATTACAAATTTTTTTATTTGTAGTGATTAAAAATTAACTAACTAAAATCCTTCCTGTTGTTCAGGTTGAATCAGTGAATGTAAATGTTGCTCCATGTCTCCATCTAGTGGACTGATAGTAGAAGTGCAGCAGCTGATGGCAGCTTCCTCTGCCTCTCTGCTGTCTGACTGCATTCACCTGACACTGATATGAAGCAGAGAAGAAGAGCCAATCAGAGGAGGAGCAGCTGATCTTTTTCCAGCACTAATGATGTAAAGGATGATCAGAGTTGATGTGCAGATGAATGATGTGTGTTTCCTCTGCAGGTGAAGCTAGAAAGTGTGTGTGTGAGCTGATGTGGATTCAGCAGCATGGATCAGTGTGAGGCAGAGAGGAGGGAGTCCCTCCCTCTAAAACCACTCTGTGTGGGGAAGATGAGAGCCAGAGCAAAGGTCAGAGGTGAGGTCACCATCTCTAACTGTCCACAGCCCTTTTCACACAGCGTTCACTATATCAGGCCAGAACAGACGTGGTGATGAAGCTGCTGCTGCTCCTCTTTGCTAATTAAGTTTTAATCATCATGTTTCTGTCAGGATCCATCAGAGACTGAAACCAGAACCAGAACCAGAACCCAGCTGTGTGCCCTTGAAGAGCGACAGGTCAAAGGATGAGAACATTGACTTTAAGTCTTCTGGGTCTCCACCATCAGAGAAGTGAGCTGTTTTTAATTCCTGTCAGTGTGGAAACTGAACCAGTATGAACTTAGATGTTCCCAGTTTTTATTTAGTCTGTTGACAGTGTGGACTGTTTAAAGTGCAATATCAACTTTTTACATAATCTGAGTGAATCTAGTGTTACTGTAATCCATTTTCCTCTTTCTTACTCCTTTGTATTGTGCTGATGTGATGCTCTGTTTTACTGATTCAAGTATTTTTACTGTGAAACTCCTGGTGATTTCCTCCATGAAAACTGCTGGATGAATATTTCCAGACTTCCTAATTGTTCCTGGTTCCTCCACAGAGTGGACCAGCAGAGCTCAGAGGTTCCCAGTGGTTCATCTGTCCAGCAGCATCAAACACAGCTGGACTCCATATTTATGGTCTGTAAATATACAACTACTTTTCTGTGGGTTCTGTTCACAGTTATCTCCATGCTGCAATTTGTAGTCCAGAGGACTGTCAGTCTGTTCAACATCCATCTGGTGTTTGGCTCCATGATTTAAACTCCGATGTTTCCTTCATCTATTATTATGTTCCAGTTGTTGGAGGAAAACATTGTCACTTTTGTGAAGAAAGAACTGAAGAAGATCCAGAAGGTTCTGATTCCAGATGATCCAGAACGGTCTGAGAGTCAGAGTGAGGATGAGGTGTTGGAAGGTGATGATGAAGAGCAGAGGGGGAGCAGCAGAGAGGCAGTGATGAAGATCACACTGAACATCCTGAGGAGGTGAAGCAGGAGGAGCTGGCTGACCATCTGCAGAGCAGTAAGAGGATTTTTAAAAAGATTTAACCTAATAGATAAATCATAAATTTATTGATGTCTAAAAAGATGGAATAACATTCAATCCAGTCATCTCCATCTTTGTTTCATTATTCATTTTACTTTTTGTGTTAATTTAGGACATTTGGCTGCAGTTTGTCAACATCAACTGAAATCTGGTCTGAAGAAGAAGTTCCAGTCTGTGTTTGAGGGGATTGCTAAAGCAGGAAGTCCAACCCTTCTGAACCAGATCTACACAGAGCTCTACATCACAGAGGGAGGGACTGGAGAGGTCAATGATGAACATGAGGTCAGACAGATTGAAACAGCATCCAGGAAACCAGACAGACCAGAAACAACAATCAGACAAGAAGACATCTTTAAAGTCCCACCTGGAAGAGATCAACCAATCAGAACAGTGATGACAAAGGGAGTGGCTGGCATTGGGAAAACAGTCCTAACACAGAAGTTCACTCTGGACTGGGCTGAAGACAAAGCCCACCAGAACATCCAGTTCATATTTCCATTCACCTTCAGAGAGCTGAATGTGCTGAAAGAGAAAAAGTTCAGCTTGGTGGAACTTGTTCATCATTTCTTTAGTGAAACCAAAGAAATCTGCAGCTTTGAACACTTCCAGGTTCTGTTCATCTTTGATGGCTTGGATGAGAGTCGACTTCCACTGGACTTCCACAACAAGGAGATCCTGACTGATGCTACAGAGTCCACCTCAGTGGATGTTCTGCTGACAAACCTCATCAGGGGGAAACTGCTTCCCTCTGCTCTCCTCTGGATAACACACGACCTGCAGCAGCCAATCAGATCCCTCCTCAGTGTGTTGGCATGGTGACAGAGGTCAGAGGGTTCAATGACCCTCAGAAGGAGGAGTACTTCAGGAAGAGATTCAGAGATGAGGAGCAGGCCAGCAGGATCATCTCCCACATGAAGACATCACGAAGCCTCCACATCATGTGCCACATCCCAGTCTTCTGCTGGATCACTGCTACAGTTCTGGAGGATGTGTTGGAGACCAGAGAGGGAGGAGAGCTGCCCAGAACCCTGACTGATATGTACATCCACTTCCTGGTGGTTCAGACCAAAGTGAATAAGGTCAAGTATGATGGAGGAGCTGAAACAGATCCACACTGGAGTCCAGAGAGCAGGAAGATGATCAAGTCTCTGGGAAAACTGGCTTTTGATCAGCTGCAGAAAGGAAACCTGATCTTCTATGAATCAGACCTGACAGAGTGTGGCATCGATATCAGAGCAGCCTCAGTGTACTCAGGAGTGTTCACACAGATCTTTAAAGAGGAGAGAGGGTCTGTACCAGGACAAGGTGTTCTGCTTCGTCCATCTGAGTGTTCAGGAGTTTCTGGCTGCTCTTCATGTTCATCTGACCTTCATCAACTCTGGAGTCAACCTGATGGAAAACTCATTTACACTTCAGACAGCCAACTTATTTCAGAAACCTAAACTAAAGTCTCTCCATCAGAGAGCTGTTGACCAGGCCTTACAGAGTCCAAATGGACACCTGGACTTGTTCCTCCGCTTCCTCCTGGGACTTTCACTGCAGACTAATCAGAGACTCCTACAAGGTCTGCTGACACAGACAGGAAGTAGCTCACAGACCAATCAGGAAACAGTTCAGTACATCAAGGAGAAGATCAGTGAGAATGTGTCTGGAGAGAAAAGCATCAATCTGTTCCACTGTCTGAATGAACTGAATGATCGTTCTCTAGTGGAGGAGATCCAACAGTCTCTGAGTTCAGGAAGTCTCTCCACAGATAAACTGTCTCCTGCTCAGTGGTCAGCTCTGGGTTTCATCTTAGTGTCATCAGGAAAAGATCTGGATGTGTTTGACCTGAAGAAATACTCTGCTTCAGAGGAGGTTCTTCTCAGGCTGCTGCCAGTGGTTAAAGCCTCCAACAAAGCTCTGTAAGGACACACATTGTTAATGCAGTTATTTTTGATAAAAATTTGTCAATGATGATATAAATATTAAGTGTTGCTTCATCAGTTTGTCTCCTCAATGTTGGCCGCTAGCAGATGATGAGTAAAAGAGAGATCAGAGCTCATAGGGTGACTATTCATAATGCTACATGTTCAAGCAGCAGAAATTATTTTTCCTACTGAAACCGACACTGGATTAATGCAGCTCATTATAGAAATTAATGTTTCTCTTGCCAGCCTCTGATGGCTGCTGTATTGTAGTCTCTTAAGACTTTAGGCCCAACTATAGAATAAAGCTGTTCACAACACAGGTGAACTGCCATGTATTGTGCCAGGCTTAAAGATGTGCAAAATGAATATCTTTCAGGATTAACACATATTAAACAAAAAAAGGAAAGACAATAGAGTTAGATTCTTTCTTACTCATGAGGAGAACAGACAGTCATGTGCTTTCAGTTACAATCTTCTGCTGCTCTGAAAACACATTTGCCTGCTCCTCTCTTTTTATTGTTTTCAGGATCCCTAATCACAAAGAAACGCTGTAACTCTAAAGGGAGGGGAAAACACTTCATCATATAGCGACAGCACCAATGACAATCACTAACTAAAACACAAGGTATCTTGCATTAGATAGTCTCGTTCCAGACACAGGGTTAAACAGAGCAAGTTGTACATCTTCACAGTCAGTTTTATAGTAATCTAGCCAGTCAAAGAGGCCTTGCTTCCCACTGAGAGATAAGACCTACAGAAACCTGTTGTCACTGATTTCTTTCAGTGAGGCCTTCTGAGAATCAGAGTAATTCAACAATACAGAATCATTCTTAATATTAAGATGAAACTAAACAATAAAAGCAAATAAGAAAAGACACATTATAAAGATACATGAGAATAACAAATATTTGACAAATAACATCACAATTTATATCATTGACTGGAACATAAAACATAAAATTTTGAAGACCTATTTCATATTTTCCTCCCTGTCTCCTCAGACTGAGTGGCTGTAACCTCTCAGAGAGAAGCTGTGAAGCTCTGTCCTCAGTTCTCAGCTCCCAGTCCTCCAGTCTCAGAGAACTGGACCTGAGTAACAACAACCTGCAGGATTCAGGAGTGAAGCTTCTCTCTGCTGGACTGAAGAGTCCAAACTGCAACCTGGAAACTCTCAGGTAACTCATCCCATCCATCCATCCATCCATCCATCCATCCCATCCATCCATCCATCCATCCATCCATCCATCCATCCATCATCCATCCATCCATCCATCCATCCATCCATCCATCCATCCATCCATCCACCATCCATCCATCCATCCATCCATCCATCCATCCATCCATCCATCCATCAGTTCATACCTTGGTTTCTACCTCCATGTTGTCATTTTCTCATCATGTGATGAATTGTGTGTCTGCAGCTTATCAGGCTGTTTGGTCTCAGAGGAAGGCTGTGCTTCTCTGGCCTCAGCTCTGACCTCCAACCCCTCCCATCTGAAAGAGTTGGACCTGAGCTACAATCATCCAGGAGACTCAGGAGTGAAGCTGCTGTCGGCTGGACTGAAGGATCCACACTGGAGACTGGAAGCTCTCAGGTATGGAGGAACCTGCTGCAGGAGCAGAGAAGGTCTGATAGAGGAGGAAGAGGGACAAATGTCTTTAGTCAGTCTGCTGGGAAACATTTAATGTGAAGATTAATAGTTAGCTTGTTGCTCACAGTTATAGCTTTTTTCAGTTGCTAGTCAGTTTTCCATCTCTGAAACCAAGCTGTTTAAAAACGGAAAGATAAAATCTTAGATTCTCTCTGCTTTGCTTGAAGTTGGTGTTTTTTCCTCAAACCAGCTCTGATGCTGTTCTTCAGCCTGGATTTTCACTGGACTCGTTCTGTTAAAACTGACACTGGATTAATTTAGTTCATGATGGATTGTAATAGTTCTCTTGCCTCCTTGTTGTCTGTTGTTTAATTCTTCAAGACAAGAGGGCCATCTGCAAAATTATCCACTTCTCAATAAAAGTCTACATAAAATATGTTGAGTAAAAAGTCCTTTTAATCTTTCCAAGAACATTGTTGACTGTAAATAAAATAAATATTTGTGATTGGCTTAGTAACATATTTTCCTCCCTGTCTCCTCAGACTGAGTGTCTGTAACCTCTCAGAGAGAAGCTGTGAAGCTCTGTCCTCAGTTCTCAGCTCCCAGTCCTCCAGTCTCAGAGAACTGGACCTGAGTAACAACAACCTGCAGGATTCAGGACTGAAGCTTCTCTCTGCTGGACTGAAGAGTCCAAACTGCAACCTGGAAACTCTCAGGTAACTCTGGGCCATCCATCCATCCATCCATCCATCCATCCATCAGTTCATACCTTGGTTTCTACCTCAATGTTCTCATTTTCTCATCATGTGATGAATTGTGTGTCTGCAGCTTATCAGGCTCTTTGGTCTCAGAGGAAGGCTGTGCTTCTCTGGCCTCAGCTCTGACCTCCAACCCCTCCCATCTGAAAGAGTTGGACCTGAGCTACAATCATCCAGGAGACTCAGGAGTGAAGCTGCTGTCGGCTGGACTGAAGGATCCAGACTGGAGACTGGAAGCTCTCAGGTATGGAGGAACCTGCTGCAGGAGCAGAGAAGGTCTGATAGAGGAGGAAGAGGGAGAAATGTCTT